CACTACGGAGGTCGGAAAGGGTGAAAGCCACCGAGAAATCACCTCCGTTTTGGGCTGATTTCGACGCGGCGTGTGTTTACTTTCACCGGAATGTGCTCCGACGCGGTGATTTTTGACGTTGCACGGGGTGATTGGAACGGGTTGTCTTCACCCCGTTAATCCTCTCTTTCACCATTCGGTTTCGAGGGTCTCGAACAGTCAGTTTTAGCCATTTTACAAGGTTCCTTTCACTAGCCATCTATTCATTTCTTTCGGTTTTTGTCGAGGGTGATTATGACTTCTTGTTCACTATTGGCTTGGTCATCAACATTTGTCCCATCGTCGGCGCTGTTCGGCACGGCGCCCACCTACTGATTATTTCGCTCATTTTCACCTCTTTTCCGTCGGTGCTCTACACCTCATGATCGGTGGCACCAATGTATACGTATAGATGACCACAATAAGTAAGCCATAATCATATTTTGAACCACAGTACATAGCGACATGAGCAAGACAAAAAATAAGATTGGTGACGATGGTCGCTGTTGAAGCGAGTACACAATTCGAAACCGGTATAGAGACTATCAATGTGACGTTGAATCTTGAGGTCGATGATGACTGAACGACGCGGGTGCGATCTGTGAGAAAGAAAGTGTCACCGTGGGTGTAGTGACGTACAGCAATCAATGATCTGCATCCGCATCGACGAAAACACGACTCACAGATCAATCATCGTTCTGCTCTTCACCACCACCCTCTTGTTGCTCGACGTCACCAATGTTCGGCACTGCTACACCACCGGTTGCGGCAACGGGAGTAGGTGCAGGCGCAGCAGGTGCAGCTGGCTGAGGGGCCATGGCGGGAGTGTTGGCGCCGAGCGCCCCGATCGACCTGAGGTACTTGCGGCGGTTGTTGATGAACTGCCTGAGGAGAGCGGCAGTAGGCCAGTTGTTCTGGTAGCGAACGAGTATAGGGTGGGCTTGCTTGACCTACCGAGCACAGTGAGCTCACGGCTGAGGACTTGACACAGGTGAGTACGTACGGCTTTGAAGATCTTCATCAATCTCTCAGTCGATTGTTGACGATAGGTGTAGTTGAAGTCCACCACACCGAAGGATCTCTCGTGGACGGTGCGCTATAGCAGAGAGTTTACGTCGCCGGTGAGTACCATAACCCCTAGATCACCACCATCTACCAAAGTTACAGGGATGAAAAAATACTTACGGCTATAGCCCCGTATAATTGCTCATCCTCAGGAGTCTCCTTGAAGCCCATCCGAACAAAAAGGGGAGTCTTCTTGTCCTCCGGCTCAGGTATGGTGTCTTTGCCATCGCTCGTCTCCTTGTCCGCTTGGGCCTTGGCCACTGCGGCTTTGAGGGTTGTGTTCTCAGCCTGTAAGTCCGCGTTCTTCTCTGTTCTCCACATGTCAGATGGAAGGTAGAATGTATTGTGCTGAAACCTTACTTTTTTCTTCGTCTAGTTCCTTCTCCACGATGGCCAGAGTGCGTCTACCAGCACCTGAACTACCTGTCGCGGTAGTACGCCTCCGACGGGATTGGCCTTGCATAGCGGTGGTCGTTAGGGGAGTAGCAGTAGGGGACATGGTGGATGGGAGTCTATAGTGCAGATCGACGTTGTCAAACTCGGGATGAAAAGTCTTCGGTACGCGTGGCATTCACCATTTATTCACCTTCAAGCCACCGCTCACAGAACTGTACAGTTGCAATTGCGGAGTATGAAGTGAACCCCGACGTCGCGTCCGCCCTTGTGCCTGCGGCAGCAGGTGAGTAGCTCGACGTGATGCCTGTCCCCGGCGACTCAATACTCCCTCCTCATACCGACATCCAAAACCACCACCAGATACTCCACATGCAGTCGCAGCTTGCTCTTGTCGTTCCCGGGCCCAAAGATCCCATCTCCGTCGAACCCGTCGTCTGCCCGCCCCCCTTCGACAACAGCCCACTTTCCGAGCCGTCTGGCCCTGTATATGGCCCGGCCAATCCCTACGACCCGTACACCGAGCTTGGGCGCGAATTCATCGAGCAGCGCGACTTCGGTGAGGTCCCGACACTCGTTGATCGGTTCCTACAAGCGAATATGTGCCTCTGGCACCAAGATGATCCTCGTATCATCTCGACGGAGCTTATGCCGGACAATGTGCCGTGTACCATTGAGGTAGTTCATTTCGCAGTAAGTCTATTCAGTCCTATCATCATTCAATTGATATTTATGCTCGGTGTGTACAGGAGAATACCGACGACTTCCAAGACGACGCTCATGACGTTCCCGGTCTTGTTACCGAAGAGCATTATGCTCTCGTCATCACGGCGGAAGTCCCTTATGGGTGGGTAGAGCCACGGTGGTCCAGAAGCCCACCGGCCATCCTAGATGTTGTGTATCGGGAGAATCTTGGCGGACTTGGACCAGACTGGTGCAACATGTTCGAGGAGGGCGAACGGTTCACGTTCAACCAGCCTCGGAGCTTGGTTGCGTCCCTCTTCGCATACATGGCGTTGAATCATGAAAATATTGACAAGGTATGTCCCTTCTTATTACCGCCCCTGTAGTCTATTGGACTGACACTTTTGGTGATGTTGTAGGGTTATTCCGAGGCAATCATGCTATGGGCACGCGCCATCTCTGTGCGTCATTTCCTTTCTCTTTCCGTGGCATTTCCCCTTCAATCCTGAATATGATCCACAAGGATATTCGCTGGTGCAATAAACGATTGAAGGAGAAACTCGAACGTCGCCATCAAGAACGCGGCCGCCAACAAGTGGCTCAGGGTGACTCGTCACAGTCGGCAAATGCACCAGCCCCAGCCAAGCGTCGCCGCGTCTCGTCTCCAGTTTCCTAGATTCACACATTGGGTGTGGCGGCTGTTGGTTCTTTCTGGTGCGGAGGGAGTGGATGTTGGGGCCTACAATGTTGTCGAGGGTTCTTCTGATATGCCGAAGTTCGTTCACTTGGGTTTTCGGGCTGAGTGTTTGTGATCGAGCCATCTTCATTGTTCTGTACAAATGCACCAGTCTTGCGAAGGATAACCATTACCATAGACCCCTATCCAATGTCCTGTGAGCTTAAGTCCATAACTTTCTGTGTGATTCAAGGAGCCGTGGCAGTTGTGTGGCGCCGAATAGCCGTCATGGCTAATGCCGATTGTGTTCACAAGTGCCGCCGATTGCGTACCTTCAGTTTCCACACCGTGTTCTACAAGTGCCCCTCCAAGTTTTCTCCCTTGCACACATGGCTCGTCGTCGCAAGAAATCGACCGCTGATGGCCAACCGTCAGGAAAGTGGATATGGTGTACATGCGGCTGCCAACAGCAAGTACACCCAACGACCGAGCGTTTGCACCGCGCTGGACTGGCCGCTCCCCACGTTCGAGGATCAGCGGCAGAGGTTATGGAACAGTTTGACTTTCCTTTGAGGAGGCCGGTGGTGAAGAGACGGCGAGTTGAGCAGACTATAATGGAGAACCAGACTAGAGAGATTGACCCTCTGCAAGATCACTCATTTTCTCGTACGTCTGTCTGCCCCACTCATTTGCAGGTACTCTCTCAAGAGTTTCTCTTCCTCCTATTGTTTCTTAGAAGAGGAACTACCTGATATCAGTCTCATGGAGGAGACTGACACGGATGGTAGACCCTTGTTGGCTGCATCTGACCTAGGAGGAGGAGGTACGTGAATGTCCTGTTTCTCGCTCGGCGGTACAACTGCTAAGCTAACGCTGTGGTTCTATGTCGGTCCTTTCCCATCACTGTTCTGCATTTATATTTCCCCGAAAACCTAGCAGTACAGCCGTCCGTAGATCCCGACCCAACAACACCGCAAGGAGAGCTAACCCCTAGTACACGGCATGAGGAGTTTCCGACCTCGTCCTCAACACCGGATGCACCTCCGAGTTCTTCTCTGTCTACCAGTAATCCAGTTCTGCCTTCCACTGGAGGTCCTGAAAGAATTGACGACGACAATGATGGTGAGGAAGAACCGTTGTGGGAGAACGGAGAGATTGGGTCGGATTGTGAGGTCGAGGACTCCTTCGGTGACCTCGACCCAGACGATCCCTTTCTCTCGGCCATGGACGTGATAAGGGAGGATTTCGAGCGAGAGACACAACTCTCAGGTGTGTAATGCTTGCTCCTATTCCTTTTCTAGTTCTGACATGACTGAATAGCCGATGACCTCGAGAACGACGACATCTCTATCCTACGTCAGTATTCCTACAAACTTCGCCACCACCTCACAGATGCCGCCTATCGTGATCTGCCATCAGCGACTCCTGATGCGCACGTTCCTACGCTCGAAACCGCTCAATCACGCATTGCTTACCTCGCTGGTTTCAAACCCGAAGTCTTTGACTGTTGTCCGGAAGTCTGTATGTGCTATACCGGTCCCTACGCTCTTGATAGAGAATGCCGAGTATGTCATACCTCTCGTTACGGTGCAAATGGACGTGCCCGAAAACATTTCACGTACCTTCCTCTCATCCCTCGCCTGAAGGCGATGGTGGCAAGTAAAGCAGTCGCCTCAAAAATGACTTATCGTGCGCAGGGGCACATGTCAATCGAAGGCGAAATCAGTGATTTCATGGACAGTAAGCGCTACAAACGCTTGTGCAGTGAGCGTGTCGTCATTGACGACCGCACTCTACCGCACAAGTTCTTCCAAGACGGCCGTGATGTTGCGTTCGGCTTGTCGACAGACGGATTCGCTCCCTTTCGTCGGCGGAAAACAACTTGCTGGCCACTCATTCTTTTCAACTACAATCTACCTCCCGAGATCCGCTTTCACTTTCGCCACATCATCTCCCTCGGTGTCATCCCTGGTCCCAAGAAGCCTGCCGACATTGATTCCTTTTTGTGGCCCCTCGTGCAAGAATTCACCGATCTCGCAGCCGGAGTGACCGCCTTTGACGCACTCTCTGAGACCATGTTCGTCCTCCGCGCTTATCTCATCCTAGTCTTTGGCGACATCCCCGCTGTCTCACTGTTGATGAAAGTGAAAGGTCATAACGGCTTCTCGCCGTGCCGTGTCTGCAAAATCACGGCCATTCGCACGCCCGGATCTGATGCCACTGGAACGACACTCTACGTCCCCCTCGATCGCTCGCGCCACCCTCAGGTCCTCTCAGATCCCACCGCTGTTCGCGCCTTCGATGCTCGCAAGTTACCACTACGCACGCACAAGGAGATGATAAGGATGGCAGAGGAGGTTCAGACGGCGAGGACTGGTGCGGCACGCGAGCGCCTCGCAAAGCTGTACGGTATTAAGGGCATCCCTATTCTCTCCCGCCTTTCCTCCCTCTCGCTGTCGAAATCATTTCCGTACGGGTTTATGCATCTCCTTTGGGAGAATACCATCAAGAACCTAGTTTCTCTTTGGACTGGCGAATTCAAAGGACTCGACGTCGGAACCGGATCATACGAGTTCGAGAAGAGCGTGTGGGAGGCCATTGGAGCGGCAACTGCCACTGCAGGCTCCACCATCCCGAGCTGCTACGCCAGCGCTCGCCCTCCTAATGTCGCCTCCAATCGCACCGCAACCACAGCGGACTCTTGGTCCTTTTGGACGCTCTTTCTTGGTCCTGTTCTTTTACGGCGCCGGTTCTCTCATCAAAAATATTACGAGCATTTTGTAGACCTCGTCGTCCTCCTCCACATCTGCCTGCAGTTCACCATCACAGCCGTCGATGTCGTGCGGCTTCGCGAAGGTTTCGCTTCATGGGTTGAGAAATACGAAGAGTGCGTCTGTTCTCCATCTGCCGCACAATAATGCTTCGCTAATCTAAATGTCTCACAGGCTGTACTATCAGTACGACCCCTCGCGTCTTTCTGCATGCCCAGTCACGATTCACGCCCTCCTTCACATCGCGGACACTATCGACGCTTGTGGCCCGGTATGGGCATATTGGGAATTCCCGATGGAGCGTTACTGTGGCCTCATCCGTCCTGCTATCAAGAGCCGCAAGCACCCCTTCGCGTCTCTTGACCGCTATATCGTTGAGAGCGCACAGATTCTCCAGATTCAATTGGTCTATAACATACAGGACCCGTCCATCTCGCTTCATCCTCTCAAGAAGGAAGTCTCGTTGAGGTCTGGTTTGAGTGATCCCGCATGTATGTATTCATATACAATTCACTGATTCTCTGCTGACGAAGGCCGCTCCATCACAGATCCTACTTGTACACTTCTAAGTCCCCGCCGTCAGATCAAACATGCCGATCCGCTCATCGCCAAGATCACGAAGGCGCTCGCCACCCGATACAACGCCCAGCACAACTTCGCCACTCTTAAGCGGTGCATGTTAGAAGGATACGTGGAGGAGTGGGGACGGGTTGCTATCGACGAGGGAGATACCCTATACACAGCATCGTCTGTGAATGGTACGCTCGGGGAAGAACGTCGTGATGCTACGTATGTGCGCGTAAGTTGACAATCTCTCCGGTAACCTCACACTTGCTGATGTACATGTCGGGCTGTAGTATCATATCATGGTCGATAGGTTTGCGCACCTGCGCAACGTCGAACCCATGTACGTTCCGCAGACACATTACGGGCGTTTACAACATGTCGTCGCCGTCCATCTTCCACGATACCCCACACTTGGCCTCGACGAACCCGAGACCGTGTTTCTCGCCGGTGTCACAGCGTGCGAGATCGAAGCTACACACGGCCGCCTCGATATCCACTACTATACGCACGAGTCGAAGGCAGAGGAGTTCGTGGACGTCACTTGTGTGCAGTGTTTGGTCGCACGCATGAAGGATGAAGGGAATCGGTGGGCTATTATGGATCGTAGCGGCTCTCTTTCGAGGCCTGACTTTGTAGATACATGATACTTGACTACCCTTTGTTTTGTACTTACTCGGCTGCAATCCATCTCGTGAGTACGGCCCACACGAAAGGTGACTGAGCGGCGACGAACGCTCCTATGACCGGCAAGTTCCTCTGGGTCAAATTCACCATTCGCAAGGGGTGTCTTCCGAAGAGGCCTTTCACTCTTTTTTCACTATCACCTCCTTTTCACTATTTCCGAGGTTGAATGGTCAGAATCACCTTCGTGCGAGGTGAAGGTGACCCCGGGCCGGTCTCACAGTGG